CCCAAACTCCTGACCTCAAGTGATCCACCCGCCTCAGCCTCCCAAAGTGCTGGGATTACAGGCTTGAGCCACCGCGCCCGGCAGTATTTAAATTTTTTAAGAAAAATATTTTAATTAATTGAATTCACTTTTTTTAAGGTAAATCTTTTGACTCAGCCCGTACACTTTTCCACAACATTAAATGTACACATATTTGCCAGCATTACCATTTGTAGAATGGATTTTTGTGAAGAAGATTGACTATGTGTATTAGTCTTTTTCTTTGGATAACATTCTAATTATTTTGAGATGTGTAGTAATTCAAAAAATAATAATAATAATTACCAAGTGGCTCTTTCTGTGTTGGGGTCTGTGTAGGGCCAAGGCCTCGTGAGTCAGATTCTGACTGTCTGGATGAGGAAGACTTTGAATGTTTAGATAGTGATGATGACTTGGACTTCGAAACACAGGAACCTGGTGAAGAGGCTTCTCTGAAAGGAACTCTTGATAATCTCAAGTCATACATGGCCCAGATGGACCAGGAACTAGCACACACCTGCATTGGCAAAAGTTTCACCACCAGGAAGCAAGTGGTATGTGTGTTTTTAACCTCTTTCTCTTTCTGAGTCTAGTATATCAGATAGCTAAAACCATATTTTATTATAGTTTTTCTTTTTTGGGTGTGTGAGATTTGAAATAAATAGGAGTGTTAATGGTTTTCCTGACTGGTAGGATAAAGGATTATAAACTTAATTTCCCTAACCATAAGCTTAATTATATTGCTTATTCTATGTTATCTATCAGGACTTAAAAAGTCATATAATATGCTCAAATTAGAATTCAATTGCACACTACTACTACTTAAATGGATTTTTTTTAAGGTAGTTAAAAAAACAGCTGGATGCGGTGGCTCACGCCTGTAATCCCAGCACTTTGGGAGACTGAGGCAGGCAGATTAGGAGGTTAGGAAATCCTGGCCAACACGGTGAAACCTCATCTCTACTAAAAATACAAAAATTAGCTGGGCGTGGTGGCATGCGTCTGTAGCCCCAGCTACTCGGGAGGCTAAGGCAGGAGAATCACTTGAACCCGGGAGGGAGAGGTTGCAGTGAGCCGAGATCACACGACTGCACTGGGTGATAGAATGGGATTCTGTCTCCAAAAAAAAAAAAAAAAGAGTGCAGTGTTCTTTCTCTAGAGCTTTTGAGACTGTGCCTTAGGCCACAGTGGATTAAAACATAAAATAAGTAAATAAATAAACAGAGATCATCTTAAGCATCCAAATAACTTTCCAGTTTTAACAGTTTGTTTTGTATGTTTCCCTAATTTAGAGCCAAATTTAGAATTCACCTTCCATTTACATTTTCATACTAGTTTTTATGCCACCACTGTTTAATCCTAAACAGAGGCGTTATGGAAAGAGCAAGGACCCTGGAGTCTTAGGGGTTAAGGTTTGAAGTCTAGCTCAGCTGTCCACTGTGAATGTATCTATACACCATTAATCCTCATGTCAAAGAATTAACATGAGAACCAAATGAGACAGCAGTAAAACTTATAATAGGCCCTTAATTAATGTTAATTCCCCTTGCTTTGGTCATCTAAACCACTTTAAAACTATAATCACTTCCAGAATTGTCAAAATCTAGTAGAAACCATACATTAGATTTATCTAAAGCAGTATTTCTTAAATTTTAATGTGAATATAAACCAAAGGATCATGTTACAATATATATTCTGATTACTCAGGTCTGGGATGAAGCTGAGATTTTTCTTTCATTATTTTACATTATTATTTATTTTTTTATTTGAAATGAAGTCTCCCTCTGTCACCCAGGCTGGACTGCAGTGGCGCGAGCTCGGCTCACTGCACCCTCTGCCTCCTGGGTTTAGGCAGTTCTCCTGCCTCAGCCTTTCAAGTAGTTGAGACTGTAGGTGAGTACCACCATGCCTGGCTAATTTTTGTATTTTTAGTAGAGACGGGGTTTCGCCATGTTGCCCAGGCTGGCCCCAAACTCCTGACCTCAAGTGATCCACCCGCCTCGGCCTCCCAAAGTGCTGGGATTACAGGCATGAGCCACCCCTCCCAGCTGAGATTTTCTGTTCTTAATAAGCCCCAAGCAATGGAGATTCTGCTGCTCCATGGACTACACTTTGGGTAGCAAGGATGTAAAAATCTATCAAGTTGTAATCTTTCAAATCCTTTCCCCAGCCTGTTTAACCGGAGGCCCAACTAACAATTTAGTCTTTGTGGTTGGAACCACAAAGCCTTGTGTTTTCACTTTTAAGCTTTTTCTTTGGGGGAAAAGAAAGGAACACTTACTTCTTTCATTTTGAAGAAAATTTACAGTATTATTTCTTTTTACTTTTTTCTATCATCTCAAACACACGTGTGTATTATTTCTTTCTTTTAAGACTCTTAGACAAGTTATAAAGGTAGCTTCTTAATTCTTTTATCCCTTGAGCTATTTCAAAATAGACATGCAATTTATTCGATTTGGAGGAATTTTCCCTGGGAAGAAGTGTATTATAATCTGTAGAACCAAGTTTTAATATGTGTGCTAGGCCATACAAGTTATTAGACTTCATTTTCAGTTTATATCACCAAGGCTAAGAAGTTTCCTTTTTAAATTGGAATGCAAATTTACATTGTTGCTTAGTTATCTTTTTATTTTAACCACCATGCAACCTAATGATATATTATCCCATAATTTTCTTTTCCCTCCATGAATAAGGAACCTGTATCCCAGAATACTGATAACAATTCAGATGAGGAAGATTCTGGTACAGGAGAATCTGTTATGGCACCAGTGGATGTAGACCTGAACCTGGTTTCAAATATATTGGAATCCTATAGCTCCCAAGCTGGACTGGCAGGACCTGCTTCCAATCTTTTACACAGCATGGGAGTGCAGCTGCCTGACAACACTGATCACAGACCAACAAGTAAGCCAATGAAAAATTAACCAGCAAATTTAGCTTCTCTTTTTTCTTTTTAAATAAATATTGAATCAAATTCTGTTCATTTCTAATTTACCCATTTGGTAAAAATGTTTCTTCATTACAAGTTTTACGGATTGACTTCTCCCCCATGCCCCAAATGTGGCCCTCTTGGCACAAGTCTTTGTGATCTTAACTGTGGTTTACACACAAGGTTTTGAACTCAGCAGGGTAGAATCTAGCCCCTAGACAGCCTTGAGATAAGATTCACACACTTCATTCTAAGGACACACCCTCCCACAATATATCCTTGAGGTAATTCTAAATGTTTAATTTCTCCCTTACCTTTATTCATCCTCAGATCAAAATTTCAAGTTGACAAATTTGGATACGATAAATCATTCACTTTTTTTTTTTTTAATTATTCTGACCTTATGAATGCATTAATGCCATTATCATTCACTTTTTCTTTTCAATTTTTTTAGTGAGGCATAACATACATATGGTTAAGTGCACAAATCTTAAGTGTACAGTCAGTGGATTTTTTTGCATGTATGTACCTAAATCAAGATATAGAACTTATTTACTTGTTAAATAACAGTTTATATCTCAATATAGGTCATATACCAAACAATTTACCCTTTAAATTATACAAGTCAGTGGCTTTTAGTATATTTACAAAATGGTGCAACCATCACTACCATCTAATTCTAGAATATTAGAAACCCCATGCTCACTAATAGTCTCTCGTTCCCTCCTACTCCTAGCCCCTAGAAACCACTGGTCTACTTCCTGTCTTTATGGATTTGCCCATTTTGGACATTTCATACCTGATACTATACTTCTTTTAATTAATTGTTTTGATATTTAATATAACTGATATATTTATTGCTAAGATGAAATGTTTATTTCTTAAAATGATTCTCATATTCCTCTTAAATGAAGTATTATCTATATATCATAAAATTCACCATTAAAAGAAAGAGAAAGTCTTCTCTACAGATAGCTCCAATATTGGCCATGTTTTTATAATCTAGGTCTTTGGATTTTTCTTTATTATTGTATACAGCAGAGAGATGCCCTTACCATATCTTACCCTATCCAAGTAAAAACAATGGAAATAATTTCATACTGTTCCCTCTCCAGTGACCAAGGGAGGACTTAGGAGAATGGTAGTAGAGTTCTCATCTGAGAACTTACTATCAAAAACTAATAAAAATTAAATATGGCCAGGCATGGTAGCACATGCCTGTAAGCCGAGCACTTTGGAAGGCCAACACTGGTGGATCACCTGAGTCAGGAGTTTGAGACTAGCCTGGCCAACATGGTGAAACCCCATCTCTACTAAAAATATGAAAATTAGCCAGGCGTGGTGGCAGGCACCTATAATCCTAGCTACTCAGAAGGCTGAGGCAGGAGAATTGCTTGAACCCAGGAGGCAGAGGTTGCAGTGAACCAAGATCGCGCCATTGCACTCCAGCCTGGGCAATGAGCAAAACTCTGTCTCAAAGATAGATAAATAGATAAATACACCATACTCCGCTCCAATCCTTTCTCTTATTTTTATAACAGTGTTCATTGAAGTGAACTAAGGAAGTGAACTAAGAAAGTGACACATCAGATGATATTGTGTAACGTTTTAACATTTTTAAAATATTTTTATTATTTGTTGTGAGGCTACATTTCTCATGTTAAAAATGGGGTCCAGAAACTTTTGACCTGACATGAAAAATGTTATTTAAAAAAAAATGGGGTCCAGAATGCCATCCCAGCTTCACTGTGAGAAAAAGGTTTCCCCCCATTGCACTTGTGGTACATTAGGTTTTTCTTCATTGAGGATTAAATATTGTGTAGAGAAAGGGCCAAAGACAGGCAAAAATAGAAATGAATGTTTTTTTTTTTATTCCGGTTACCAGGGTTGACTTTCAGCCAGGCTTACAGGATTTTACTTGCTTTTCTATTCTGCATCATGCACCCAGATGGGTTCTACTTATCCTTAGCACCTTCATAATTCATTGCCCACATATATGTTCTCAGGTCAGGTAGGCCCTGTACCAAAGTTTCTTTTATTTTTCTGTCATTTTTAGTACCCCAAGCCTGCCCTTTTCTGCCTCAGCTTTCAAATATCCTTGGGGTTCTACAGCAAAGCTCTCTTCCCACTCACTACTGAGAAGCAAAGTTCAATGTTGCAGCTCCTGCTGTTAGCCATTCTCATCTTTTCTTTTCCAAAAACACATTAATCAAAGAACAAACAGTTACTCCATGGTAAGTTTGGGAAACTCATAACCAGAAATTCCGCACACTCCCCTTTCTATCAGTATTTTCAGATTGGGGATGTGTACACATGTTCTCACAAACACACCCACATAGCAATAGAAAAGATTGGGAGATGGTAATACACATGGACCCTGAACTGTTTTCTTCTAACTGCAAGATATGAAGAAATCTCAGGACCGCTCTTTTGCGAGTGCTTTTCTCTTCTGCATGCTGGGGTCAGCCCAGGTAAAGGCAAGCTGCCAATCTAACAAGACAGTCAGATCCCATCACATATTATCCCTCAACATTTCCTGATAAAGGCACTTTGATTTCCCTGAAGCAATGATGGTTTGCTGGCAATGGAGAGAGCAATGATGTTTTGGGATCAAAAGGAAATTCCGTGCTTTAACTTTTCTACTTCCAGAATCTCTTTAGTCTTATGGGACTTTGGGACTTAGTCCTATGGGACTTTGATGTGTAAATAACCTTAAGGTCTGGAGCTTGTGTCTTTAATCACAAATTAGTGACTAGAATCTTCTGAAAATACGATTGATTATTTCCTCTTTTCAGCAAAGACCTCTGACATTTCTCCTGCACATTGCTTCAGTTGTTCCACTGACTTGAAACTTGGTCTTAAATGTTTAATCGTCACCAATAGGGATCCTCTCCCCTACCCCCAAATTCTCACCTTGTAAAATTTTCTCAATCCATTGGACATAAAAAGACATCAGAATAAAGGTGTGGACATTTATTTTATTTTCCCCAAATAAACTCTTCTCCCTTATGGCATCATATAGCAATAATGAGAAATCCTAAATTTAGTTTATTCCATAAAGCTTAAGAAATAGGTCAGGTTTGGCATCTGTTTATCTCCACTAATCCCTTTGTTAACACTTCGTGGATGTGCAAATGCCAGCAACTGTTTTACATTTAGGAAAACAGGCATGGCAAAGTGATAGTGTTTCCCTGGGTCACAAATGATTATGTAACAGAGCTGAAAACAGAAAAAAAAGACTTACTGTCTGGAGTCCCATTAGGATTCTACCACCTCAACAGGGCCTCATGGCATCTGATTTATTGTAAAGTACTCTGAGTAATAATGACTTAATTATGACTTTTATTTAACTACCATGTACAAGAATGTACTTGTACATGAATTTTAAAATGTTATACTGTGCTATTTTTCTTAATTCTGCAAGGGTAACAAGTAACTCAGTAATGACTTGAAACTTGCAATATATTTTCAATACTTAGATAAAAGTTTTAACCAAATTTACAACAGGCACATTTTGGCAGTTAGTGTAAACACAGCATTACCAAGCCATATGCCAGAAGATGTTTGCTTCCAAGGCCTTGGAACAAGGGCCTGCATTCAAACTAATGCTTCCCTCTTCACCCTGATTTTGACAGTTGACGGCTCATCAGTTTTCTTCTCACGCTGGCTTTTTGGATTGCCCATTAGTAGGAATTTCTTCCATTAACACTGATGATAGAGGTGTCTTACTGGAGGCTCACCCTCTGCTCTGCCCTTCTGAGGTCCTTCTGCAGCTAGTCTTTTGTCACTTCTCCTTTGTCAACTGATCTCTAGTTTGTCCCTCAGGAATACCAAGGAGAGATCTAAGATCTAAGTGACTTGATCTGGCCTAAGCAGGCAGGGAAGAAGAGGTCTGTTTTTCCACCCACTCCTTAATTAGTTGGTGGGAGATGGCTAACTTAGGGGGCAGCCAAAATGGGAAAGTCCCATTCTGTTGCTGAGTATAAGGGCCCTTTCTCTTCAGGGCTGTGGCTACCTCATGATGACTGAACCAGGCAGCTGTCTCTAATTCTCTCAAGTTCACCTGGATCTGAAAGACATAAGGAAGAAAAGGATGTAAGGTCAGGAGCTACAAAATCTAAAATACTATGGCCAAAGGTCAGAAAATGGTTCCAGAACTAAGCAGTCTTAGGAGATAATGCCTGGGATCTCCAGGTTAGGTAAAAGTCAGTTCTAGATACTGCCCAGAAGCAAAAGAGGCATAATTAAGAGGTGAGAATTAAATAAATTTTTAACGTAGTAAAACAAGATATGTTAAATAAATCCTGGACGTACAAATACTAAAATATTAAGAGTGGTTAACATTGAGGGTAAATTATGAATAATAACTATTTTTCCTTGTGCCTCTATTGATTTTATAAATTTTTCTATTAAAAAACAACATACAAATATTACTTTTTATTTTTTTTGAGATGCAGTTTCACTCTTGTTGCCCAGGCTGAAGCGCAGTGACGTCATCTCGGCTCACTACAACCTCCACCTCCTGAGTTCAAGTGATTCTCCTGCCTCAGCCTTCCAGGTAGCTGGGATTACAGGCACCTGCCACCACACCTGGCTAATTTGTTTCTATTTTTAGTACAGACTGGGTTTCACCATGTTGGCCAGGCTGGTCTTGAACTCCTGACCTCAGGAGATCCATCCACCTTGGCTTCCCAAAGTGCTGGAATTACAGGTGTGAGCCACTATGCCTGGCTACTCTTTTTATTTTTTGTA